ATACAATTACCAGGTTTTAGCGCTCAAGAATGAAGTTTTCCCACGTTTGTCGATTTTGAGGCAACTGTTTATAATCTTTAGATGTAACTTATAGAGATGCAAGCCAACAACAGCTCGAGTGAATGCTGAAAACATCCAAATTCAACTTTGCTTGTCTTTGATAGAATAAGTTTCAGTCCGGAAACCTTGTATATAAAATATCAGATTTCTTAATTCAAATTACGTTTGTTAACAAGCTTGGTCACATGAATTATTAAGTGCTAAGTCAGTTAATGAATCCAAATCTAAAGTCATTGAAATAGGTACCAAAGAACTTCGCAAACTAATTTCTATTAGAGCTCCATTGGTTTAGTCAGCTTATAGCAGACTCACCAAAATTATCGACCTCATGTGGTGTTCGTCAGTCTCTCATTGCCTATCCTTTTATTTAATTTCGTCATACGTGTCTTGGTAGGAATGCTTTCTTCACCTGGCTGTTCGCGGCTTGATCTATCAGGGGGTGTGTCTATAGACTCCTAAAACGCAGATGATTTAGTTCTGTTTGATGAGGACGCTGACAAAATCCAGAGCATTTTAATCACCTTGAGCAACGGCATAGGCATTTTTGGAATTCGATTCTTACTCTCTTTAAATCTGGTCTACGTAGACGCCTGGAATAATGATAGAAAACAGAACGTTGAGTGGGTCGACCAATTAACTTACCACGAGAGTTTCATTGGCCTTGGTACGTTGGTACCTGACGAAATATCGGAAAGGGTTCAGAAAATTCGACGGACACTTGTAGACTTACGTCACTTATGGGATAGGTGAGATATCCGTCTACAAACAAAGGGTGAGTGTATTGCCCAGTAGTTCATTTAGTCCTACTTCATATGCGCAAAGTACGACAATTAAGAACGTGAACTTTAAAAGTAGAGGATTTTTGTAGGCTATAGTCTTCCATCATGGATGCCTTCGTGTATGTGTCAGGTCAGTTGATAGGGTCAAGAATCTTTATCGAATGAGATGGGTAGGACATGTGTTATGTATTCCCAGTCATTGCCTATCTCGACGGGATATGCTTTGATGTATATGAGTAGGACGGAATAAATGTGACAATGGTACATGAAGTTATTGACTGTTTGTCCGAGCTATACTAGAATATACATATGACCTGGGTGATAACCGCAATTATTGGTTCAAGAATTTGTGTAAGATGGCTCATAATCGTTCACAATGTTGTAGATACATCCGCTTTTTATTCCAAATTCCAGTATTCCTTTAAACATGACGTTCCACTCTATCTTTTCGAACCATATCCTCAATATTTAGATTTAGCTATTATCATAGCTACTAGATTATTTTGAAATTCATCGGGTCGTGCTAATGTGGTATGGAAACTAGGGTCAATGCACATATGTACCAGGCCTTACCTTGATGACAAGTAACTGAATCAAACTAGATGTTACGTACAGCGGCAGACGAAATGAATGATGATTATAAATTACTGAAGAAGTTACAGTCATCTAATTGATATAGTGTAATATTTTGGCACTTTTTATATGCTACACACTTAAATGAATGATAGGATAGAACGTAAATGTTCTTATTACCTCTTAACTAATGTTATATCATAATATGTGTTTTGATTTTATTTCATGATATCTTATACAGTTTCCAACGTATATTTAAACTGAGTATGCACCTTCCTTGGAACTCAGAAACATAGGGAATGGATAACTTGGGACCCGATGTGAATTTGTATCTGTTCAATTCGCCATACTAAATATCAACATCCCGAAAAGGGGAATTAACGAGATAGAAATTTGAAGAACTGATCTTTCCTTTTCGTTACAGTAGGAAACTAGATGTAGTGGATACGTTTCAAAAGAAACAAATGAAACTAAAAAGTAGAAAAAACATACAGTAATGATAAACTGAAAATTGAAAAACGATATGAAATTAAACCGATTTTAGTTTATGTTAAATAACATCTTCAATGGTAGCTTCGTTGGTCAAAATCAGGAAATCTGAATGCTTTAACAGTCAATTCATCATTAGCTAATTATTTGTAACATCAGTTCAGTAATAAACGCTAAGAAATGAATACACTATACAAAACAAAAAGAAACTAATGAATATATTAAAGAAAATTTAGATAATGTGTAGAACGAGGTTATAGCTAAGAGTGAAATTGCCATGTCTGACAAATTGAAGTGAAATTGTAGTGTTAAATTTGTAGTATTATTTAAGTGTCAAACTGAATTTTAATTCAAAATTCTCTTCGATATTCTGTTGTATACCAAGTAATTTTATCAACCATACTGAAGAATGGTTTAAAGGATACCTCTGACAGAATTATTTTTCACAATGTTAATCAAATATAACCATCGAACCTCTTTGTCTTTATGCTTTATACTTTCTGTGTCATTTATTAACCACGGAGTTCTTCTAATAAGTACTTGTCACTCGATTAATAAACAAAATTCGGTAAAATCATTCACATTTCAATTCCTTTATTTATTTCAATTAGAGAGAATAAGTAATGGTCCATACTGAACTAATTATTTTTTACTTTTCGAAATTTTATTATAATTAGTGAATTACTAAATTTTCTTAGTTTTTTTCATCATTACTTTAGATTGCAATCAACTGAAGTCTATTTATACAAAACTACTGAAACAATGTAAAATATGGTCTGATAAACTTGTTAGAGAATTGGAAACTCGTAATCATTTGCTTATTCAATTACATAACACCTATGGTAGTATTACTTCTTTACTACAAGCAGATTATCAAAAAAATGGTAAAGGAATAATAAAGCTTATAGATATTTTCTTGTTTTACTGGTTTGTCATATAATTGTTCAATTGTTTCAATGTCTTCCATTTTGTATATTTAGAGTAGAAATTTAACTTTTCTGTAAATACTTTTTGTTAAAAATGAGTCTATGTAATAAAGTTTAGGAAAAAAATATTGGCAATCATTGAATAATAAATAAAGTAACATAGGACATGAAAATGGATTTTGCTGAGTTCATGAAATTGCAATTTATCAAACAGTATTTACTGTTTCTGAGTTCAACAGCTTTAGTTGATTATGAGCTTCATGAAATGTTTTATACAAGCCCGTGTATTGCGAATTTGTTAAATTTATGGGATTACCGGAATTCATACACTATAGGCTTTTTTGGATCTAAATTTCAGTAAACTTCAGTTTACAACATTTTATTTAAAATATTCCCAATGAAGAATGAACTAGACCATATTAATTTTTCATAACTGACCGTTAAATGTTTCAATTTACGTTTGCCTACTTATAAGTAAGCAAATTTTCTTTAAGAAATATTTAACTTTTCCATCCTATCTAGGAGCTGGTCTGGTGTATAAATTTATACTCTGTAACTAAATAGATTAATAATATTAGCAAACAATCAGAATACATTCCATATTTTAAGGATTTAAGGATAGATATGTTTAAAAAAACAGGTTTTCAAACGACTAGTGTAACTGACTTAAAATGAGAATTATCACTATGAAGATGAGGGCCAGCTAATCTTTTCACTAAAATATGAAGTGTCAGCTGAATTATTTCAATGTACTACAAGTGTAGATTCAATGCTTATTCTACAACTTAATTTTTCACTTTTGACTATGAGCCCTAACATTTTCTTCAAGACTAGTATGGTTACTCTATTCGTACAATCGTTTGATTCTATCATAGGCTAGTCATACTATAGTTTGCTTTAAAACTTTAAGAAGCGTTTTCATGAAATTATTAACATTGTGTGATATATATCCTTTATTAACAATGTTTAACACTTGTTGATTTTAAAATATTTTTAATAAAATGACTGGTCTGTAATGTGGTAATAGCTTACTCTAAGGTTAATTGTTTGACAGGTGTTTGAATATTTGAGTCAGAGTTCTTCACTATTTCGATTTATAGCCTCTAAAATCCCATCTTATGAAGAACTATTTAAATTATAATAAAATCCTTTTGAAGAGATATCTTTTCATCTAAGTTAACGAGTGATGAATAACATCGAATTTTTAAGATCATTTCCGAAAAGAAGCATCTGTCTGTATTTTTTAAACAATGTCAAGTAGTTATACATTAAGTGGGTTGATCAGTTTTGTATAAGCTTCGGTATTTACTCGAATAATGGAAGACCCATTGTCCGATTTTAGTTCACAAGTAGTTTCTTTAAGAAACATGGTGAAAATTATTTATTGGATATGATACCTTGTTAGAAGTTTACAATTCTTGATATGCTATTTATTGTGAAAAAGGCACAATGAAATAAATGAACGGATTGATCTTATACAGATAATCGAACTAGTGGTAATACAGTTGTAGCTGAAAAGAAAGTTGTGAAAATGTAATTTATGTTGTTTTATTCATTAACTTCTTTACTTCTTATAGGAGAACATATAAGAAACTGAAGATTTTAGAGAGCTGAAATCACTATTATTGAGCCATAATGTTGTGATTTTCAGCCTGAGTTTTCTTGAAGGAAAATATGTAAACTTTTTCTCTTTTCAATATATCCCAGTCTAACACAAAAGAATAATTTAGTTTTTCAAATTTACTGCTTGTGCAATGTATGTGTTTGAGAAAACATTTTTCTCGAATTAAACATTTAAATTCTTGTTCAATAATTATCATTTAAGACGAATAGCAACTTATTATGACATTAATTTATGAACAACTTCAGTCCAGAAAATATTTTGTATCGAAATTTACTCAATGTTATCTGGTTAAAAGGACTGAATGACCTATGTGTTCTCAGCGTCTTGTGATAGTAGGTTGTTTATTTTTGTATGGACAAGTTACATTTATCTTCAATATTATTCCATCGTTTATTTCTTATCATATTATCTACGATTTTACAATGACCAATCAATTAATTAAAATGAGTAGTAACAAATCAATTTTTACCACTCTATGATTGGCTGTTTTTATTCGACCAATTATATGACAATTTCACTGAAGGTTACTTTTACCTAAAATTCAACTCAGATAAAAAACATTTATAGACCTACTTCAATATACTTTCCAGTTACACCTTAGAAGCAAGCTTAGTTGATAAAGCACTGGTGTATTTAGCGTGATGTAGATTTTTTTTCTTCAAAGCTAGTCTTGGAAATATATAAATGGAGATGTTGTCTGAAATGAAACAAGAGAACAATTCAAGGATGTTATCTCATCCAAATAAACGGAATAGTCAACAGAAAAAATTTTATTCTAAATATTCGACTCGTTTATTACAAAATCCTAGCAACAAAGGTACTCATGGCCGTAGAGGACCTGGATTATATCGATCAACAGTGAATGAATTATCATTAGAGCAAACTAGTTTGCCACTAAATCTACTCCATAAACGTTTATTTAAATTTAAACCGTCATTAACTCCTGGACTTGGTACAAGAAGAGTTGTTTCTATAAACCCAAGTAAGGTTTTATACAAAGTTTTCATTTCAAGTGTTATAGTAATGGGATTTCTTTATACAATATGGTATTCGTTTACCATATAATAAATATATTCTAGATAGACCTTTTACATTAGAATATATGATATTATTCTCATAGCAAAGTAGAGTTTAATATGCCTTTAAGTCTAATAGTTTTGAGTTAATATAATCGTTTGAAATGTTCCTAATGGTTGTTATATAATTTGTTGGGGTAAATAATTAATTATATAGATTTGTGATGTAAGTAGTTCAAATTTATTTTATTAAATACTGGTATATTTTATTGTTTACAGTGCTTTGTTTATTTATATTTCGTACTGAAATGCTATTTCGGTCAATTGTTTAATCAATTATTGATTACCCGTATACACATTTGTTTCGTTCCAACTTTTTGTTGGACAATAAATTCTGAATATTATTAGAGGATTAGTTGGATACTGTTGGTAGTCTTCTGTGAGTTTAAGAGTTGAATATATTAAAAATATGCGTAGTACCGTGGGATAAAACTTAAAAATATGTAAACCTTTAGCCTCCTCTACATTATTTGTTTGAAAGTAGATTTAGTTGATTGTTGTTTTACAGTGACGCTAATAGCCACTTTTATAAATCAGTGTAATGACCTTTTATTGATCTAATGAATCAATAAAAGTTTTTGATATTTATATTAATGACCAGTTTAGATAGCAATAGACTTTTACTGAAGAAAGCATTCTCTAGTCTTACATTCAAAGCAATCTGTTTGTAGAATAAACTGAGTTGAAAGTGTAATATCTCACACTGATTAATAGCTCTCGTTAAATTTTGATTACCATGGTTTTTTTTTTACCAACTTTTCCAAAAACACAAGTATATTCTCGTGACATTTTAAAGCTACCCTTTAATATATCGCAAAATTATTTTTGAAAATAACACTATAATCTGTTTCAGTCTGCATATATTTATGATATTTAGTTTATACTTTTGGAGAAAATTATGAAACTCTATTATTTGATGTACTCGAGATAAGCTGAATACAAGTGGGTGAGATCTGCCTGAAGTAGAAGGGTTAGTTTGGTCAGTAGTCAAGTGAGAGTGGTATAGACGAATAAAAGCAATACCCCAGTTTATCAAAGAATTAGACCATGGGAGGGATTTCAAGTTTCTGAGCATAGGCTTAAATGAAAATGGAAAACTCAACATTGGACTCCTTGTTCATCGATGATGTTTCTTTTAAATCAAGTGTAAATAATTACTGTTCATCGAGTTACTATTAAGTTCATGGTTTACTTTGAAGTTTTTCACATCATGAAATTTACAAATATTTTTATTATGAACAAACGTCTGTCAGACAAAAGTAAAATCTAAGACCGTTAGCTGAAGTAACTTCAAAAACTGACAAAACTTTTAAATAGTGAAGTATTTTCACGATGCAAGACTGAGATCTTTATTATAAAGATCGGTTTTGCGTTATGTTTATTCGCAATGCTTACACATTTATTATACAAGATTTTTGGGAAAGATTATAGCCGATAATTAAACTTGTCCTTACTATGTTTAATAGATGTACAAGGAATTATGAAATAAGACCTGTAAAATTCCATAAACTTAGATATTATGACTGTTTACTTTTTAATTGTATGTTAATTACACATTTTTTCAGGGCAAGATCCAAATCTTAAATTCAGTATGGAGCCTCGTCTAGGTGATGAAGCATTCACTGAATGGATTAATGCCGTACGTCGTATGGCTCGTATAGGAGACGGTTTACCATCAGCTATTCGTTCACGTGTATGGTCAACTCTTGCAGATAGACAATTAGCTAAGCAACATGTCGATTGGGATCACGAGATTAAAATGGCTTTCAATGAACCATCTAATCAAGATGATGACAGATTAGGTGAACAAATTGTAAAAGATCTACATCGTACTGGATGTGAACAGTTCGGATCAGATTCAGATCGTGCATCGTTGAAACGTGTTCTTCTTGCTTATGCTCGATGGAATAAACGAGTGGGATATTGTCAAGGTTTTAATGTAATAGCTGCTGGTGTGCTAGATGTTACTGGTAGAGATGAAAAAAAAGCATTCAAAGTAAGTGTGAAATTATATGGTTTAACAATATTCAGATGTTAACTTGCACAAAACATCTCATATATAAACTCCCTTTGCTTCATGTTGTATGGTCTTGATCAACTATCTGGGAAAATTAACACTCATCCTCCTACAAAATTAACACTAAAGCTATATAATTCTGATTAAATAGACTTCATTTATCAACTTTTTAAGTATATGATTGATTTTAGAGCTCCTATCTCTTTACCAGAGGTTATCTAAACAAATCTTGATGCAGAAATGTATTAAAAGGTTATGAGACTATAATAATAGAAGAATAAGTAGAAATATTACGCGTTGATTGTTTTTCTCTTGATGTACCAACCATTTATATGTAAAATTTCAAGTGTTATATTGTCAAATTATCTATATCTATAGATTAAAATTATAAATAATAATCGATTAAATTTCTAAAAAAGACACGTTCATTCTTGTCCAATGTATTTTGGTATCTCATATATCAAAATACTCTTCATATTGTTTTTCATGTTTGTTTCATAGAATAGAACCGGGTTTTTACACTGTCTTTTTTTTCAACTAGTATACCTAAGTTACATTTGCTTTCGATTGAAATTTATTTACTCTAGACTGTTTATTATTCAGTTTCCTTTCATAAGGAAGTTATTAAATGAGAAAATTAACTCTACCTGTCCTAATAGTGATATCTTTGCAAATTATCAGTATATAATTGTAGTAAAAAGTTAGTTATTTCATAATTCTCTTGATGCAATAATGAATCAGTCATATGAATATTCAAGTTTGTTTCTTCTTCTTCTTCTTCTTATTATTATTATTATTATTATTATTATTATTTATATCCAGTTAAATTTGAGTATACCCTTTGAAAAGTTAGACTTGAAAAGTGAAGCTCCTGTTGACATAAATAATGTCAACCTTAAATCATGCATTATTTTTAAATACTATTTTATTAAATTTTATCATATAGTGTACTGTAAAAGTATTAATGATGATCACTTATATTATTGATGATTGATAAACAAATCGTTAATAGATTCACTCTTTACTTTTCCTATTTCACTTATCATTTGAACTTAATTGAAGTAAGTAATAGGACACCAAAGACATTAATTTACATAAAAATGACTATTAAGGAAAGCAAATATCTTTTTTAACGATAATAATTTTTTTAAGGGCGAACTGTACTTTTGTGTATATAGCTGTTACAATCGGTTGATTAAATTTTTTTTTTGTATGGTCAGACATTGTTTGAAACCACTAAGAATCAGAAACCACTCGAAACTCGTTTCATCTCAGTTTGGGACTTTTTACCATTATGCACTCACTAAATGACACAAAGTTGAATTTAGAACCTCTTGATCTCGTAATGAACACGATACTTAGGGCTAATTTTCTATCCACTGCGCTTTTACTTTGAATAGTTATCTATTTGATATGAATTCATTATAAAAATTACTTTCAAACTGTACGAAATCATCAAACAAACTCCATGACAGATAAAAACCTATTTTTGTGGAATAAACTATGATTACATCATTAATGAAATATTCAAAAGTACCAAAAAATACTGTTTCTAATGAAAATTAACAAATAATCTACTATGTGTTGATAATCTTCCAAAAATGTCGTGAACACAGTATTAATCAGTAGTATTTTTAGGTAAAAAGTATTATAAATTAAATATTCATTTTAATAAAACCAAAGAAATTGAATTGGTATTAACACATGATAGTATTAATAAAACAAAATTTAAGGGGGATAATATAAGCTTTTTCTCATCGAATAATCTTTTCTTTTAATGGCTTAATAGCTAGTTTTTATCGTATATATTTTGTCGTTGAAAGTAAGATGCCAATAGTATACGTTGTGCAACAGTTAATCATCATTATTATTAATAATGAGGAATTCGACTAAGATTTGAGTACATTTGATCGACTATATTGTTTGTTATTGTAGAATCTATTGTAATTGAATTAGAATAGCGATAGTTAGTCATTCTCTATGTTTTGTTCAATTTATTGTACAGTACGTTTAGTACATTTATTTTTTACTTAATAATTATGATGTTTTTTCAATTGTGAACAAAGTTATGTCATAAAATGCAAATTATATAGTGAAGATATAATGAGATAATCGTATAATATCAATCGAAATTTTAGATAACTAAATTCATATTCAATTAAAAAACAGCTCAGTGATAATCATTTTTCATACTATTGTAAATTCTTGTTTCCAAACTGTTATTATTTTGATTTTACTTGGTGTTGTTTTACTTGTATCTACCCATTGTTATTTAAGAATGCAATTAATCAGTATCATGTTGGCATATGTGCATCCTGTGCGGATCGCATCGATATAGCTTCAAGTCAAAAGCTTTTTAAACAAAGGTGAACAGCGGCTAGCGGTGAAATCCAGTTTGACACGCGTTTCATCCTATGTTGGACTCGTCAGCTGGATGTGCCTGCATCTCAGAGTTGATGTTCACCCTGGGACCCGAACCCAGTACCGTTCGCTTCAAACGCCATCAAGTTATCTACTTAGCTATTTTATTACTTTGATTTCCCGATTTGAATTATAATTCTTTTGTTTATTACATTAATACTTTTGATCTTATTGTGTTTTCTTTCATTTACACTGACATAAATTGGGAAGCTTTGTTCTGATTAAACATTTGCACCTAGGTCTTATTTTGTTTAGGACTAATTCATCATGTAACTTTTCTATGCTTACTTTTATTGTCCACAGTTTCTTCGGTCACATAAAGAAACTTCATAATAATATTTTTTTTGTTATAGATCATGGTCTATTTAATTGATTATGTTTTACCGGAATCATATTTTGCACAAAATTTACAAGCATTATCTGTAGATATTGCTGTTTTCCGACAACTTTTACAAAATAGAATACCCGAATTAGCGAATCATTTAGATAATTTACAATTTAAAGCTGGTTAGTTTGCTCTTTTTCGATTTTTTTGTTTTTATATTATTAGGAGGTCAATATGTACTAGTCGTTTGATGTTATATTTCATGCTCGACACATTGATAAATATTTTAACACCAGTATGTAGGTTTTGGAGATTGTTAAATACTATTAAGATCACAAACCAAATTGAGTTGGAAATCTGGCAGTATTGGAGAAATTCTTCTTCCTAACATTGGACTCCTCGTCAGCATGCATCCACAATCCCAACGTCGGGGATCAAGCCCGGAACCCCTGGTCTCGCACACGAACTCTTAACCTTTAGACCACTGAGGCGAGATTCAGTGGTGTACAAGTCTAAATTCAGTCAATTTGAGTTATCGAACTACTATCTTCCATTGTCTTCAGTCAGTATTTTCTTGACACTTGACGCGGACGAACTCCACTCCTCGTGGCTTCTTGTTTGAGTTTTGGGGATTTTCTTTCGAAGCTGTTCGCTGTTGAGCATATGATGCTCATCTGTCCTGAGGCTGTTGAAATTGTTCGGTGTTACCGAGAAGCCGTGAAGAAAATTAAGTTAATTAAAATCAACAATTGAGATGACAGTATCAAACGTAGTGTATAGTTCAAAAGAATTAGATAAGATGGAAGAATAAAAAGTAAGACAACATATATTGGGATATAAACCGAATGTGTCTACTGAGCTGAAACTGATTTTAATCGAAGCCACTGGAAGTGTTTAGTATTGCATTCTGCTGATTTAAAGTAACTGAACTAAATAGTTTTTGCCTCTCGATTCAGTTTAGACTAATGATGAACTGATGTTATGTCCTCGTCTCACCAATCATATCCACTTTTTATTCTAATTCTACCCTAGTAACTTCATGTAGTAGGGTTTACTGTTACACTATTTCACATACTATGTATTATTAGTAACTCACTTCTAACCTTGGCACTTATGGTTCTAGAGTATACTTTATGTGGACAATGTTTCATATCCATAAAGTTATACGAAACGAACTGACGTCCAGTGTACTGACCTTTCGACATTCAGTTGCATATTGCTACATAGGTGGTGTAAGTCGGCAAAGCCAAGGTAGGTTTTGGTGATGATACCGAGATTTAGTCATTTTATATGATTTACAGTTAGGAGTGGAATAAATGCTCCATGTACGCGCATACTAAGTCAGATGATTCATCTAGTACTGGAAAGTGATGACAGTTAAATGCCTCATGCTTCTTAGACAGCATGATAAATTTAATATTAAGCACCGTTTTCTAATGATTTCAGGGTGATGTCATGTCTAAATAGAATGATTTTAGGCCATCGCATTTCTGGTCTATCCTATGCATATTTCTGAACTATCTTTTAGACTGCTTATAATCTGGTGGGGGGATGGGAACACTATTGACTTGATTGCCATAGTTTATCATTTACATAGTCAGAATTATCATTATTAGCTTTATTCAGTATTATATTTTTTGGTACAATATAGAATTTTCAACACAAAGTATTTCAAAAAGTTTCTGTTTCTTACTTCTTTGTCTATTCTGACGAAAAATATTGAGTGGTCGCCCCCTAGAAGTTGGCAGTCCAGTCAGTCGACATCTGAATAATGCACATCCATTTCGCTGCATATTGACAACAAACACGATGTATCTGACTGGGCTTTTTTTGCAACATGTACAGCGGAAGGCTGTAAACTTTTCATAAACGCATCTTAATAGTTTGTGCGATAAATAAACATAATGATGAGTTAAAACAAACAAAAACAGATAACTTATATATATCAATTCAGTTTGTTTTCACCTTAAGCCTATCCTGGTAATATTATCTTATTATCTGGAGTGATGTGGTTTCAAATTATCTTCACATCATTTCTTTATTATCCTTGTCTCCTCTTACCCTCCATTTCTAGTCTAGTTGACCTTTTTTATATATAAATGTTCTTGGTAAGTATGTGTGATCAGATTGTTCGATATGTATTGCGCTAATATACCACATAGCTCTGATAATCTTCGTGTTCTTATTACACTATCGAAGTTTAAAATTCATTTTGATCTAGTCTGTTATTCAGATATTTCTCTCGTTTTTCAAGCTCTGACTTAGTGTTTACGCAATTACGTTTAGACTTTTATTTTGTCTATATTTACTTACTGTTATCAGTGGTAAGTAGTATGAATCCACATGTTTAGCTTTCCTCTAATAGTTATAAATAGTTACATTTATAAGCAAAGATATTTTTTGATTATTATTTATTCTCTATTTATTAGAAAGAATCCTTTAGAATTTATAGTAATCAAACCAATATTCTCTAAATAACCTGTTATAGAAATACTTACTTAGTTTTCTCTATTTATGAACTATTTCACTCTTACCTCCTACTTAGAAGGTAAATTGTTTTGAAGTTGTTTGTTGACTGGCTTGGAAATTATTTAACCAATTCAATTTATCGAAAAATTGAAACATTTGGCTGACGAGTTCAGAATGGGGCGGAACGTGCGTCCTCAACTCCACAGCTAGCCACTGTTCACCTTGCTTACATTTCAAATAGTTTATCTTCTCTTCCAATTATGTTTATATCGCTATGTATGTATACTAACTAGTTATTCGTATGCGTATTTTATTATCCATTCATGATAGCCTTGGAAACAGATTGTCAGCTGACTGGAAGACAATTATCTACATATAAACAAGATATTTTATCGGGAAAAAATCATGGCGCTTATGAACCTCCACTAATGAATGTTTATATCATTCAATGGTTTCTTACTTTATTTGCTACTTGTTTGGCATCTGACGCAGTTCTACGTGTATGGGATAGCATATTACTAGAAGGTTCTGAGGTGATCTTACGAACAGCTATAGTCATTATGGATTTCTTGAAAAGGTATTGGAATATATGTATCATACTGCAGAATCAATTATATGATTATGACAATAATTACGTATGACAAACGTAGTCAAATTACTTCTTTAGTGTTATATCAAAGAGATTAGAGTTTTAATAAGTTGTGGAACACTGTATACCCTTTTTATTGTTTAAAGAATAAAAAAGAACAGAAATCATTGCTCAAAAGGAAATACAAAGTGGTTTTATTTTGTAGGAATCTAATTCTAATTGAATTACTTATGCTTGCTAACACACTATTCACAGCAGTCATAAAGTTTTTATTTCTGAATAAATCTTAAACTAATAATGATTGACTTCAAAAAGACAGCATGTGTTGCTATTGTCATGAAATCATTTGTTTTCCCCATTTATCGTAGATATATCATAATATCTAAAGTACCGTGATGATAGATGGTTACTATCATATTTAGTACAATAAAATACTTAGGTCTTGAGATATTGTTCTTCATAACGTCAAACTTGGTTTTTAACCGAATTTCACACTAACAATCTAATATCACATGATTATCGCTCCACTATTCCAATGAAAAATCTTAACTTAATAAATACGATTCAAGGTGAAGTGAATGAAGACCGATAATATTTGAGAATAATATTGCTACAAGATGAATTGGCTGAGATCTTGTGATTTTTGGGCAATTTTATTGCAGAATATCTTGAAACAACTAGAAGGTACATGGAATTATCGTATACAGTTTATCACTCACGTTAATTATTATTTAGACCATAATAAAAGTATAAGTTGTGTTCGTTCGATTTCCGCGGCATTTCATTCCCACTAACAATTAACATTAAATTTTTAATTTCATACTTTTGAATTACCCTGATTGTAAATGACGTGATAAAGATTGCTCAAATAAACTTTCTTTAGGTAAACTGTAGGTGGATATTTTGTTGTATTACTACTGAGTGAGATCTTATTGAACCACATTACACAACTCTGTCTTATATAGATCCTCTTCAAAATTTATCTTGCATTATTACCTAACTCAGTTTTATAATTTTTATCAGTATATGGGGTTTGTTTATTGAGATTGCTGAAGAGCTTACATGTCTAATTTCAATAAACTTGCGAAAGTGCACAGCAATCTATTTCCGTCTCTGTAGTTTAAAGTTACGCAACCTCTGCAAGGGCTGAGGCCTTGAATTTCGATCCTTTGTGAGATCAGTGGTATATAATGCTGAAGTGTCCCATACAAAGACGAAAAAACTATTCAGTGCTTCCTGGTTTTCAGTGGTTGTCTAATTTTGGTTGAGTTGTAATCTTGATTACATTCATAATGTTTATTACCTGTCGGTTTTCCGAAACATTCTCATTTCTATTTTGATCTAACCTCTAAATACCAATAATATTTTTGGAAGTCTGTTGTTGTTACCATGTTCGTTTAATAGTTATTGTGAGAGAAAAATGTGCATACATACGCGATTATATAATTATAAGAATGATATCGCTGAAAAGAGATTTCTTCTTTGGATCGAATTCTTGTTACAATGACTCAATCGATATTTTTCATTAATAGGAAACGAGTTAACCTTCAGTTGAATATTTAACACAACATGAGATCTAATGCCTTTTGTGTAATATTTTTCATTGTTAACAGTCGTTTGTTAAAGTTAAAATCAGCTGATCAGTTTTACGCTACAATGAGTAATTTAATGTCAGAATTTTCAGAAGGTCGAATAGTAAGCAGTCAAGAATTAATATTTGAAATCTATGAACTAGCACCATTTCCTTATCCTGGATTGAAAGAACTACGTGAAAAGTTTATGTATAATATAGCTCCATTAGTTTTAACGAAACATTTAACTATGAATTCATTTAATAACAATATCATTGATGATCAAAGTCTTTCAAATAATGATGGAAAGAAAATGGGCAAATTTAATTTATTGAAATATGTTCCTTCAAATTTTAAAAAATCGAAATCTTTACAGTCGGATAATGATTATAGAGGTTTACAAAAGTAAGTGTGTTATCATTATTATTGAAGTGTTTATTTGGACTTTCATAATGTTCACAATTGTCATTCGTTCTTTCAATTTACAAGTGGTTGTATAATTTTCCCTAAGTTTATTTTTTTTTAAAAATTTATCCTTCATGTGGATAAAGGTGTAATATTATGGAATCGGAGAATATCGGTGAAAAATAAAATTACATGTCCTTTCAATAAGAAGCAATCATGAAATTTTCATCACAATGATCTTGTTACTCATATTACCGGGGGACTATGCCTTTGTTGAACTTGAAAAACGTTTTTGAACTATTTACTCTAATAGATGAGTTCTCTCATCAGATTGATCAGTATGGGTGACTACCAAAAATATATGCATATTTATTTATGCGTGACGATTTACTTATATATACCTAGTGTATGGTTTCTGTAGGTTTCATTATGCCTTTGTTATAAGTGCTCAGCTGACTGGTCCGCATTAACATGAGTTAATTGATAAGAAATGGCTATATTACGTGTATATACAACTCCATTTTGTTGTTGTGAGTGACTAGAAATGGGATCCGTGGTATGGGCCTTATTATATTCGGGACTCATCTGTTAAGGGTGACTTTCCAGTTATTTTACTTTCAGGAACATCTTAAAACACCATTCATAAATTTCAACAGTATTCACTAGAATCATACCACTAATAATTATGCAAATTTATCTAAGAATGCATTGTGTATATAAACCAATTTCTTATCAATGTTTGTACAGGTGTTGTAAACAAGATCACCAGTGGGGACAATCGAATGTAATCAGCACACACTCACAGAGTTACTTGGTAAACTAGAGAAACCATATAGCAAATTGTTAATTTGCAAAATATTAATCCATCATATCAACCTGGACTGTTCCTGTTGCAAACATCAATCTGTTGTCTCACATTTCACTGCTCATACGTTTTCTTACAAATTACATTGTGTTCCCACTCTTCCTTTCTTGATCTTCCCCCATCTTCTGCTGCCAGACATTACGTTTTTAACTCGCGTCATATACTACTTATATCAATAAAGTAGCATACACCACATAGGCACAATATTGGATTTGGAGAAAGTTTGCGTGAGGGGAAAACACTATATAATAACTGAATTTAGTAAATATTAAGAATAGATCAGATAGGAGTAATGAAATATAATCATATTTTTTATGGGTAATTTTTATTTAGAGTAGTAATAATAAAATATTTCACTAACGAATATTATGTTTTAAGCCTATCTACTTTACCGATTTACTATTGAATAATAAAGAGAAACGTATAGCCATTAGTACTACAGAGCTCTTTTTCGAAGAAACTATAATTATAATTTCCGTTGTAAATCATTTAAAAAATAATTTTATTTGCATAAATTTCATAATTTATTTATAAAATCAACTCAATCGTTAGTTTTATTTAGAATATAATTCAATCTTATTTTGGTTAAAATATATTTAGTTAGTTTAACGACATTTATTTGCCACTATTTAGTATCCGAATCTTTTGAAAAACAAAGAAATCATACTATTACTACTTTAGTGAACGAGAACAACAGTAGGGATAACTAAATGTATTTGAACCTGAAATTACTGCAAAATCTGAGAACCACACAGCAAACACTTCATTTTCACAATGTCCATTAATCGTCTCAGATATAATTGTTCATTTGTTTCCACACCAATCAATCTCTGTTCTCTTTTCTTCGATCTTCTTAACCTTCTGCCGCCGTGCATTTTAGTTTCTATTGATGATATATATAACTTAGATCTGTCAACATTAGTAGCACATACCACACTACTACTACTACTACTACTACTACTACTACTACTACTACTACTACTACTACTACTACTACTACTACTACTTTCATAATACTCAATTAATCTATTCAGCTTTTGTCAGATAACATGTAGGCTTATATACTTCAATCAAATAAATATCACTATAAAAATAATTCCGGTTTATTAATTAATTAAAGAGATTTATTCACTGTAATAATTATTATATGAGATATTTTTCTTTCAAATGAAATTTCACGTTAAAATCGAGTAGAAAACAACATATCAATCGTAGAACAGCTTTCTGAAAGTTGGATGAAATTACAATCTAAGTATGTTATATATTCCTTGAAGTAATATATATATATATATATAAGCAGTGCCTCTCATATGAGATTTAAACAACCCTATTTTAAAATGCAAAAACTCATATGAATTACTTATTATATCACCACATTATTTCACCCATCAATCTAAAAGGAAACATCATGGAACAAAGAGATGTGCGACTACATTCATACTGACGTTATTTGTCAATATACTGTAAATTAAATTGTTTTGTTTAAGAATTTTTGTTTGGGTCGTGGATGATAATTTTTAAAACTATGAGGTAGTAGTAATTTGATGAACACTACTTAAGCAACTATTCATTGTTCTCTAGTTCTCAGTGGTTTTTTAATTGACGTCCGTTTATACAGTGAAACATTTTCATTTTATTATTTGTTTAACGATAAACTGTTAGTTCAAAGTAACATTTGATAATGTTTTTATCCATAAATTTATAGAGATAGATAATATATTTCATATGTAATTCGTAGCTTGTAAATTGGCGATAATGTCCGAATAGTCTTATTACTAACAAGTAATGTTAATAATAATCTTGATCGATGTAGAAATGAACTAAAAAGATGATTGAACATCAGATTTTGTAGGTATAACCGGTTAATATTAGTGTTGTCATGAACTGTTTTTTTTTACCTCTCTCTTACTACTTCTCTATACTATTTCATTTTGTTTTCAACACAGTATCCTTATCTTCATCAAGTTTTTAGGCTACTATTGTTTAGTTCTACGTTTTATCAATAAAGAGTCTGGTCTTGTGGTTTGCTCTACTCATGTGGACAAACATAAGTAGTATGTAGCAGGAACTGGAAGTAAGATGTTTACTAGCAGAAGATTGAAATAAGAGAAGAGGTAGGAAAACGAAGAGATATCGAATCTACAATAGGATTGGAAGAATGAAAAAATATGTTAGGGAAAAATCAAGGAAGATATGCAAATAATGTATTGAATGTATGATTTCCGTATTTTACAAAGATACTGTGTGATTTCGCATAATACAATAGGTTGATTTTCCCCACCAAGTCTTCATTCATTACATTGCAATTCAATACCATCGTTATTCTCTTCTTGTATCTAACCTCGTTCATCATCATCTTTATGATGAGCAACGTAAGGGATTTCTTACTTTATCAGCAAATCGTATGATTATTGTTTATGCACTTCATTTTTATGAACAGATCAATCTGATCAAACAGATAGACGAAAAGTAAACTGATATAAGTTCGTATCATTTTTGTTTAATTCATTTATGATTACATTCAAGTAAATTGAGTCAGTTTTTCGTGAGTTATTGGAATTGTTGATGTATTCGTAACCGTGCAACAGTTTACTTTGTGGTCAAACTATCCTAACATGTGTGTGTGCGTGAGATGCATAAAAAACACTAGTTCTGAAGTGTCTTGTTTATGTCTCTTAAACAGAGAGTTATAACAGCATATAGTTGCTGAGGCAACGTTTTTTTTCAGCATTCATTATGACTAGTTATGATCGGTTCTTTTTATGTTTTGTTTTTGTGTAGATATTTGAATAAAACTACTAGATCTTCCAAAACCACCAAAGATGAATATAGTAAGTCTACTTTTGTATATTTTATGATCAGTATTACATTTAAGAAATCGATCTTTTAGGCAGTATGTGGGTTGCATATTATCAGTGTTCCTGTTTTATTATACGAATGTCCTGATATAATTCATAATATTCAAATAACTTAAAGTCTTCTTAGTTAATTGTCAACCTGAACTTTCGGTTCAATGATATGATCATTAGTATAAGCTGTTTATACAGATATAGCGTGAAAGTGATGACAAGTTATTATAAATGAGAGGGAAATAAAGTCGAATAAGAATTATTTGAATTTTTCGGTCATTTTATACCATATTCTGCTCAATTAACATACTATTTCATGCTGAAAAAAAGACATTTTAATAAACAATACCTTTAGCCAATATACTAAAATTATTATTCTGAGCCAACTTTTCTATTATTGTTCTGATTTATTTCTACTGAGAGCAATGTTATTTTGTTGTATGTTTTTCTAACTTCATTTCTTAAATAAAGTATTTCACCTTCTTTTCATTTAAACCGAAGTTTTCCAAATTTGTTTTAGTGTGGTATTATTGTTGAATTTTTAATATTTCAAATTGTCCCTACATGAATATATATATGGGAATCTATACACGGATTCAGAGAATTAAGTTGGATTTTGCCAACTTAAATCACGTGTGGCATAGGTGAGATATCCGTTCACCAATCAAAGGGCATGTTTTGGTGCAACAGTTCACTCTGTTTTACTATGTCTGTGAAACATGGTTTTTAAAAGTAGAAGACAATGATAAGTTTAGGCATAGGATACTAGGCAGAGGTAAAAAAACCGGTTAATAAGGTTGTACAACTTCATCGACTGAGTGATCTGATATGCCTATTACATATCCTTACTACCTCTTACCTCAATGCAAAGTGCTTACCAGTGAAAAATAATCTAGAAAAAAACTAGAGGCTTCCAAACCAAAACGTGATGCCAGTCCATAAATTCGTCATCTGTTGATCTGAATCATGTTAGTGTCTGCAAACTACTTGGTTGGTATCTATGTGATAACCACAAATGGTGGCTGAAGGTTATAAGTAACATGGTGCAGGTGTATCAAGTTTTTATATTTCTCTAAACCTGGAGTTATAGCATTTCTTCGTACATATCATTTACCCTTTTAAACTGTATTTTCACTGTCTATTCTTTCTTATTATGACTGATCTCATTTTATTTTAACTCATTTACTACTCATCTTTTTAATTTCGTCTCATCATGCTAATGTGATATGGTAACCCGGACTAATGCTCATCTGTGCCAGGCCTTGAATTGATTATGTTTAACCCATCCATGTGACACTTTATGAATCAAAAGTAGTTTAAATAGAAACTAGGGAGAGTTGATTTTGAATATCGTACTGGTTCATCAGTTTGCTTACTGACTATTGTTCTCATATACACAAGGTGGTTTAGGCTCTTCTATTTCGTGTCTTCAAGATTATAAGATATAGACTCTAAGTACCATTGTCCGAAATTGTTCATAATAATTGAAATTTACTTTAATCCATAATCACATAAAAGGACAGTCATTTATGTCGTTCATTAAGAAGTTACCTCGCATTAATCTATTGCACTAATGATAGTTATCTTGTATAGGACAATAGTAAATTCTGTTTGTGTTTCCTTTAGAGAGGTGGTGAGATAATATACAAAAAAAACGGCTGTCACCAAAATATGAAGTTATGTCTTTTTATTAATTCAATATTACATTCATTGATTTATTAATTATAATTTTGTTTTTATTATTTCAACACGATATACAGTTAAAGAAATACAGCATTGTGATATAAAAAGCAGTCACTGTGTACAAAACACGGATAAGAGACGTTTGTCAACTACGGAATTAAATGAAGAAGAATGCATGGGAGATAATTATCAAGAAATTAGTTTGACTATGGATATTGATTCTGAAATAGGGACGTTTTCTCGTAAACAAGCTCAAAATGGCCAGACTAGTAATACTCATTTTAAAGAAGCACACAATAAATCAATAAACCGATTCTCCAGTGATCAAGTTAGGGGAACTGTCAAATGTTTTTCAGCATTTTGGCCTGACAAACCAAATAATATTGACTCAAGATTTTCTAATCAGTTATGTGTTAGTGAAAGTAGTTCAGTGAAGTCATTACAATGTTCTGTTAACGATACTCTTCCTGGAAATGTATTTCGTCTGAGGAATATAGATAGTAGTCCACTGAAAGACGGCAGAGTAAAAGCGAATTCGGATATTAGTCAAGTAAGTAGACTACTGTTTAAAAACATAGACCTTCTTGTAATTTCTGAATAATTAAACGTCTTAGCAGGTTGCTGATAATACACTGTCTTTACGTATTGTGATATCCTTGAATTTTAATTTTACGTGGAATTTAATTTAGAAAAAGAGCGGTATTGAAGCATCAAACTTTCACATTTTGATAATAAGTATTTCATAACATAAGCTTTAAATACGTAAATGTATTGTTATTCATTTAAAAGCAAGATGATCTATCGTGGAATAACGGTTACATATTTCACAGGTTGAAATCATGAGTCAATTGAAGCTAGACCACCATGGGAAACCTGGAAGCACTGGACGGCCATTTTGTCCTAGTATGGGACCTCTCAGCAGTGCGCATCCACGATCCCGCACCCTGCAGGATTCGGACCGAGGACCCACTGGTTGCGCGCGCGAACACTTAACCACTAGACCACTGGGCCGACATCCAGCGGTGTTAATGTCTAACTTCAGCCAATCCACGAAGTTGCGCTACCGTACACCATTTTCTTCAGTGAGCTGATATCTCACAACAGACCTGGTTGAACTCTACTGGTAACGTCTTCCCACTAGAACTCCAGGAGTATCTCTTGGAGTCAGTCACTAGTGAGCAGTTGATGCGCACTGCTGAGGAGTCCAATACTAGGACGAAACGGCCGTCCAGTGCTGCCAGGTTTCCCATGGTGGTCTAGCTTCAATTGACTCATGATTTCAACCTGTGAAATTTCTAAAAATCTTCACAAAACCCATTTTGGTTATATATTTGTAATGTATAATGTTTTTTTCTCGCTAAGTGTAATAAAATAAACATTTGGTTTATAAAATATATGCATATAATGCTACGTAAAAGTACTTTATTAATATTAGACAGACGATCAGTTTGAATTATATGACATCAGAGGCTACAATAAAAAAATATTTTCGACATATGTTTTCTGATACACTTCATACATTTTAAGGTTTCGAGAATTGCTATTTCAATCTTGATTATTTCAATAGAGGTAGGTCTGTCTGCTTGCTAATTTTTACGTAATAATATGTTTGAAGAATTTTTGGTCTGCGTAGAATATCTAAATAACGGTGCTTGTTGGATTAAGAGTCTAATAAAACTTTAGGATTTCTATAAACTTTAAGTATGATCATTTTTGTAACTTATTTTACACCTGTCATCTATGTGATGTTTTACGACTGGCGATGTCCAAAATCTGATACTGATACACAACGTGCTACGGGTTAACCCACAAACTGACTATTTGGGCGAGAACTTAAGAGTGAGCGAGAAAGCATGTTGGGCACAATTTTTCACATACATATAACTCTATTCCTTCGGAAATCAGTCCATTTCCAAGCCAATGAAACTCACTTGTTCTTCGGGTCACTTCTGGTTGCCACCGATTGGCCTTCTCATTTGGCTACTTCTGATTGTCTTATCCTATTGAGATCGACGACCACTGAGATGTGGTTACTTGAAGACTAGTATTAGTCCCACTGAGTTAATGATGTTTTTGAACCCTGAGACAGAAACATAATGTGTCGTTAGTATTTGTCAGCAAGTTTCCTCTACTTTAATATTTCTCTGTAGGATATTGCTGCTGAAGATGGAATATATACATAAGTCTCAGATACTTTTGTCAGAGAGAAATCTGACAATTAACTTCTCTGAAATACCATTCAATTCAGTGTAGTGACGCTTTCGATAAAACTTCAGGATAGTTAATTACTTTCTTAGCTGTCTGTAAATTTATGTCATATTGAGTAGTATATTCAAGTTACAATTCGTCAGAGATTATAATTTATTGCGTAAAGACTGATTTAACTTCTTTCTTTTCGGGCCACTTATCCTGTAAACTGTTGACATGTATCATATATTTTTATTGGGTTCTATGTTAATTTGTGTCTCTAACGTATTCACTAATAAAACCAGATTAACCTGTCAATTAGTTTCACTGATTTACATACACAAGGAACTCTAAATGTTTACATGAAGTACCTTACTGTGTGTATGATTCTGCATTTGTTTGATAACCCAGCAGCTAAAACAGTTGGCCAGTCACTGTCAGATAAACTACAATTCATAGGACACCGTGTTAATTAACCTAATACAAACAATATAATGACGTAAAATATTGTAAATTAATAAAAAACATTCTATACGAACTTTACCTACTTGTAAGTAGTATAGTCTAAAAAAAGAAATATGACGGAGGCATGTGGTGTATTCTATATACATAATTAGTATGTAACATGAATCAGAAGTGCAATGCCTGTTAAAAAAGTTGAGAAGATTAAACTGAAGAAAGTAGGAGGAGAAACATAAAGGAATGGGAACTCGAAGAGTCATGGAGGATGTAAAGGACAACCAATGGATGACTTCCAAACAGAGTATTTATTACATTAAAAAGGAAGAATATATTTGCAAAATCTCAGCGAAAGAATTTGAAGTAAATCCAACGTTTCGCCTGCCAATCTGGTCCATGCCTATAGGTATCCACTATGCATCTTTGGTTCAAGTTAGGAAATCCTGGTGAGAATGTCGCTGGTATTGTCCATAATGCGGTCACTGACTTCGTTGTTTGACAAGATGTCTTGTTCTGATAATCCAATTTCGCAATTGATGTAAGTTGGTAATGCACTCCACAAGTCTAAAATGCGTCAGTTTGTCTGTTTTTTGTTTGTATTTTTTCTGTTTACCTTGGAATGTATAGACAAAATCATTTTTAAGCATAAACTGGTTTATGTTTTACTAAACGGTTTCAATCAAGAGTAATAAATAGCCGACTTTCCTTCTTTTCACATAGTTTCTCTGATTTGATTGGGGTCTGTGAGATATTCATAATTTTTCTTCCTTCTACATAATGAGCATTTATGTTATTTTATGTGGTTATATTTCGGTTTTATTCATTCTTTTCGATAATGCTAGTGTCTCGACTGTTTTGATCTGTCTCTTGTAAATTTTTTCTCTCTGTGCCGATGCGAATTGTGGCAAGTTACAACCTTTAAGAATTAGTCCAGTTCATTGTTGTTTATAACCAGATAACAGAAACTTTCTTATCTAATTCTCCATTGTGCAGTGGATTTTCATTTTCCTGAGACATTTCCCATTGATGAATTCAAACTAAATCGAAATTTATAACCTGCGAAAATGGTATTATTCTGTTTTTAGGCGAAGTTGCACGTTATCGCTGTAGTTTATAATCTAGAAGATTACCTTCGTAGATAAGTATTTTTTAGGAACTATGTATCATTTGTTGAATATTCGTGTCATGTTTTGTATTAAATTCTATCTTTCTTAATTCTGTTGTTATTAAGCATAATATTGCATTACTTTTAGATTGGTCCAGGAGCAGTTAGTGATGCCCCAGATTTGATCCCTATGCATAAAACATCCTCAGCTGATCAGGCTCGTATGACAAGAAATCTTGACCAATTAAAATCTCATTATAAAAAACAACAAACACGTCAACTTTCAACTATTATTGTTCTACCGACAAATATTTTAAAATCAGTCTGTTATCAACCAAATATGATTGCTATACTCCCACAAAGAAAATATACACCAAATGTAAGTTTTTGCTTTAAGAGTTCTTTATTAAAACTGTTACAAGTTATCACTTGTGCCATTACGTGTGCCATGTCTTAAGATTGGGTTCGGTACGGGATTATGGTAATCAGAAAAACGTGGAAATCCGGGAACTGGAATATTTAAGCAGATAAATTGAAATAGTATAGTTCTTAGTACATAGTAACAAAAACACTTTGTAAGGACATACTAAAAACTAAACATAGTAACGACTGGTCAAAAATGAGCTAAGGTTATGTGAATATTTGAACAAAAAAGTACTTGCAGTTATGTTTATCAGTAAAGTTGTAACATTAACTAAAATGGGATAATTCTTTGATCTACATAGTATTAAGTTAAATCTAAAATGAAGGAAATTGTTACAGTATAATAACAGTTTTTAAACAGGCTACTTTTCAACCATTGAATTATCTTATTCTAATATTGGTAAGGGGATACAAAACATATACCATTTGCTTTTGTATTACATCTCATGTTGCACAAAATGACATTCTGTAGTCAAAATTAAATGTTAATCAGTTGGAATTTACTATAATATGACTGAACAAATGTATTCCCATAGTTGAAAGCAAAATATAGTGAATTAGCAGTATATGAAAACTAACTTTGTTTATATTATATGGTTGAAATCCATGGACCCGTGTTTTATTGTAGTTGGGGCTGGTTGGAAAGTCATATTTTCATTCTTGTAGAACTGATAATCCCCATAGAATTTGAACCAGAATAACTTAATTCCATATTTACAGCCATTGTCTCTGAGCTATTTGAGACATCAATTAACCTGTTGTAGAATTGGACAATGTTCACTAACCTGTTTCTGAATAAATATTTACATTTCTTTTCAATTTACTAATCTCTACCATCCTAATTCTTGGGACATGAACAAGAATAATTGGATGGGTTTATTTGTTTATTTGTAACTTTATACATGCTTAGTTTATTTGTGAATAAAACACATATAAAGCATAAGATTCATTCAGTCTAATAGTTTAGTTTCGTTATAATTTATAATGCATTTTTTATTTTGTGTGTTTATTTTAACTTTAGAAATCATCGTCATTTAGAATATCAAATACAAATAGTCATTATCCAGTCAAGTCAATAAGTTTTGATTCCTATGATACATTAGGAAATTGCTCTGAGAATAATCTCAGTGAAATTGATGACAAGAATAATTGCAATAATTCTTCTTTAGATATTCTGAATAAAAAAATTGATGACACGCTAAATGATAGTCTTTCAATGTGTATAAATCAGAATATAATTGGTGCTGTAAAATCTTGGCAAGAAAACGCTGATTGGTCTGTTACTGTTGATGAAAATGATGATCCTAATAAGAAATTCTTTTTTGATGAATTGGGTGGTAAAGAATTATCAATTAAACATTCTAACAATACAAAACTTAAATTATGTGAATTAGCAAGGTTTAATAGTTTAGAAATCTGTTTACCAATGAAAGTAAGTATATGAATTGAATCAATAAAAGTTTCGCTTTCATAAATGATACTAAATGGTTATTGTTTATTTGTAAATATAGTCAAATTAATACAAATTCTTGAATTGGGATAGGTCATTTCATAGTGAACAGAACAACGGTGGGGACAACCGAATGTATTTGACGCAAACTTACAGGACTTGTCAATAAAATCTAACAATCATAAAGTAAATACTTAATTTGCAAAATGTCAACCAATTGTCTCAAAATGACTCAGACTTCATTGTTCTTACATTTTCACACAAATCACATCCTGTTTCCATTGTTTACTGTTCGGTCCTCTTGTCTCTCTGCTGCCAGACCTTTTGTTCACGACTAACATCATATACTACTTATGTCAATATAAGTAGCACACACCACAACCATAGTTAAAAAATGAGATTTTTATTTTGATTCTTTTTAAGTGGACCGTATATTGAACTCAAGTGGTAAAGTTACGTCCAGTTTATGCTACATTTACAGTATTTATTTCAAGTCCGATTTTCTCAACGCAAAACTCTTGGATTCGCATATACTCATTTTAGTCAAAAATGTTTGTTTCTGGTATATATATACAGTATGCGGCTAACATTATCAGAACATAAGTTAGCTGATATGAAACAGTTATACTGTGATATCGTTTTTGTTCATTCAAATAACTGTCATGTATGGTATCACTGTTGTTTGATTTGGCCCTAACTTTTAACGAATGGCTTGTGTGGTTATAATTTACAAGGTATATTTTATAAAATATACGTTATCAATAGTCTCTAGCTAATTGATTATTAATATTTTGCAATTAGATAACCTTACTTTTCAATATGTTGACAACAGTTTTAATCGGTAGATTCGATTATATTTGTTTATTGATATGTATTATTGATGAACATTAACCAGTTTGATGTAATGCATTTTTTTGACCTAGAATATAAGGCATCATCTTATTACGTCCACCAAATCTGAAAGGTATCGCAAAGTTAATAATAGGTAATTCATTGGACTTTATAATATCTGGGTAGGATTTTGTAAAATATTACAATCAGAGTAGTTTGACAACAAGCTTGGATTCGATTAGTTGAAAATTCTTCATCGTTGTTCCTCAAAGATAAGTTGAAGTAGATAATGCATCCAGCTGCCATCATACTGTTAATGAAGCACTAACTTAAGATAAATGTGACACTTTTTTTCATCACATATAGTCTTGTCTCTTTTGTAGATAGTGCGTGCTATTTAGAGTTGCTTATCGTCAGAAGCCTTTCCATAAAGAAATTATTTTTGAGATATATTTTGACCTTAAGTTTATAAAAGTACCAAAAAAGGACTATGTTTACTTGCTGTGCTAGTTGTCACTTTTCTGCTAAGGTTCGTCGGTCAGTCATTCCTACACAACGAAGGATTTAAAAAATATGTGCATCGGTTCAAGTTGCCTTACTACTTTGGCACAGAGACAAAATGATTTTAAGGAAAATTCCAGGGCATATGTTGTCGAAGAAATTAACACAGAAAAGGAAAAATCAAGGTATAAAATGATTTCGGACTCAGGTTCTAGAGGAAGATGGTTTCATTGAATTTTTGTGACAATAAAGTCTTTCTATTTTTAATTGATGATGGATTTTATTTAACACGCAACCAATCTTACTGAGGCTCCATGAAATTCCCGAATACTGGATAATTCATGGAATAAATGTTCTCAATCTTTTGGTAAATAAGCTTATATTTATTCAGATGATTAGCTTTCCATAAATGCTAACCACGGTGGTGATGATTATGACGTTATCTAATATTTGATGTAAGCCAAAGGCGAAATGAGAGACCTACGCTACATGCGTTATTATAATAAACTATGATCTATATTGAAGGTTCTTTAACTAAATACCTAACTCGTCAAAATTTTAAACTTTAGTTTTCAACGTCTTGCGTCGTTACTTTTATAGTACGTTCATTGTTCTATGAATGTGTTCTGATTTAATCAAACCCGATTTAATCATAATATTATTTACTGGAATATACGGAGTTAAAATGTATACCATATCTGATGTAATTATTATCTATTATTTCTGTAATCTTATGTAGTGATAGTATTATTTCACTGAGAAAGATTGATTGAAATACTTTTATATTGTTATTCGACTAAGGCTTTGATGTTTCATATTGGTAACTGGTAGTGATTTCCAATTAAGTGGTATTAATCATGAATAATTATCTTTATATAGTTTAAATATTTTAGTTCATTTGGAAACAAAACAAGTTAAATCTTCTGTTTTTACTTCATTTTATCATACTTTTTAAGTATTCGTATTCAGATGGAACATTGAATGGTCATACTACATCGAACAATCATACTGATCATATCGATTATGATGTAAACTCTACAAATTCTTTAATATATAATAAAAATATTTATGATACCAATATAATTTATTCGAAAAAAACTATTAATGAATTAATTTTAATGAATATGATTAAAGAATATAATCGATTAAAGGAGGCCAACAATATGTATAATTTAAAAGAGTCAAAAATTACACCTACACAATCACCAGTTGTAGTGTCTCATGAAGCAGTTTCTCTGAATGGCACAGATACTTCATCTTGTTATACGTCAGTTTCAAGAAATGTACCAAAAAAGTTACCTTGGCAAGAAGCAGCATATTCCTTTGCTCTTAATTGTCGTTTAAACAAATTAATCACTTCAAAACAGACATGTGAATTATTCCCTGTAAAAACATCACTTACTCAATCTCGAAGAGAGTTTGGAGCTAAATTTGGTATTTATTAGGATACAAATTTCAAGAACTGATCGAATTTCTCAGGTTTCCATTATTATTGCTAAGAGTTTCGTGCTTATTTCTGGTAACTCGGTGGTTATAAATTCATAACATTCGTTATATAGCATAACTGTGTTTTGTAATTACCTCTTCATGATCTTATGCTAATAATATTTTCAGAACTTAATCATATTCGTCCATTTTTGGAGGATTGGTGATAAATATTTTAGAACAACATATATAATATGGAAAGTTTTCAGATAAATATATTATTTTCCTAATATTATACTTCCGTAATAACATTTGTGTACTATAATGATGTCTACAGAAAATAATCTAGTCTATCATTATTTTTATTCGTTTTGTTTTCAATAGCTTATTTTGTGATTGTTAAACTTATTATATATCACTGATCAGAACAATAAAAGTTCATGATTTGTTCCCATGTTCAATATTGTCTACTTTATACTATCATTGATTGATACAGAAAAGATATTTTGACCAAAATTACCTTACATGGTGCTTTTCCGTTTGTTATTTTCATGTAATTGAACTTAATTTTGGTTGAAATCGAGATTTCTAATAGAGAGGATAACATCATAAATTGTGGTGAGGTGCCTACTTGTATTTAGGCAAAACTTTCGTCAAATGAAATTAAGTCTAAGACAGAGTTTTTTGTCAATATACATCTTTTTTCTTTCCATGCTCGACTTGTCAGAAAAACGTAGGCTTGTTCAAAATTTCTAACATGGGTTATTTTGAGCTGTATGCAGTGATAAGATCGCTAAGATTTTATTATGATCTTCAGGTTTCTGTGTCACTAAAATAATCTTGTTCTCATAAATAAAACTGTGAATTGATTATGGTGTATGGTCATCCATGGAATATATTTATAGTCGGTTCCATGAAAATTATTGTATAGAAGGGCAAGATTAGCTCGAGTTTCTGATTTGCTTGGCAATCGATGTAAAATTTGTTGGCATGCCATTGTCCTTCAAATACAATATTCAGACAATAATGGAGTCAAAGTTATTTCACATGTGAGAATTGAGACAAGCATGCCAAATTATTTAAATTGTTACGGATTCAGTTTATTCATTTTGTCTAACTGAAAATTGTTCATCATAATTTATAAATGTGTGAAAGAAGTATTATTATTAGGCTCTAAAGTTGTTCATCCCCAATTAGTGACTCGAAAAAATGAATACTTTTTTATCTAATCAGATTTTATTATTATCAATATCAACTAAGTTCATCAGTTAACATAAGGATACACCAAATTTGTGTTTAAAACAAATCGATCTTGTCTTCAAACTGTGATTTATCAACTACATATTCACGAGTATCAACTACGTAATATCTCGTTAAAGTAACATTTGAAGTAGTATAAATCTGTTGTTTAACAACACTTACCGAATAAATGGTTCAGACTGGACTCAAAGGAATAACTGTTTGTTCTAATGATCTTTTTATAAGCTTAGACAATAGAGTATTTAGTTTTGTAAGAATAGGTCTATGCACGTTTCTGTTAAAAAGTTTAAACGTGCATTTTATTCAGAATAGTTCATAAGATGACATTTTCTCAATCCAATTTTAAAATTCCTTAGTTGCTTATTCATAAGCATTATCATGTGTTATAGCCTAAAATTTTGTTTGTTATTTGACAGAAATCAAAAATGATTTACACAAAAATTAATATAGTCGTACAATATTTTAGGTTATTACATAATCTTATAAATCACTGTTGAGTATTTCTGTCATGCTATCACTTTTGCTGGAAGTATATCTAATTGCATCCAGCTATTTCCAGTTTGTTTGTTACGTAACACATCAAACCAGAATCAATCAAAGGTCAGTTTTTATTTATGATAGTCTCACTATCTTTCAGTTGTTAATAGTTAAATGGATTAAGTTAGTTCTCATAATTCATTTTATTCGACTTGATTCAATATAAGAACAGGGAATGTATTCATCGTTTTTATTCCAGTGTGAATGTGAATTCAAAACCAGATTTTATAAATAAAGAAAGTATTTATGCTTGGATAGACAGGTTTATGATTAACCCACACGGATAAAAGGAAATGCATATATAAGTAAAACGTTCTGACTTTTTATATCGAATGAAAAACTTATTGTTTCTACTAATACTGTACAAAATTAAAAGATATTTTATCCTTTTAGAGGCAAAATTTTTAGCCAAAATTCTAATATTTAAGATTGAAATTATTGCGATATATAAATAAAGTTATAGAGAAGTGGTGTAGAAATTCTGTTATTGTAAGGAAAGAGATATGAAAATGAAAAGGCACAGGGCCAAAATGAGGTACATGCAACTAAAGTGGTACCAAACTTTGACGAAATTAGCTTAATATAACGCCAAACTGTTGGTGCTATGTTGTTAACCAAAATTATGATCATCATATGACTAACTTGTCAGACATCGCCTGTTGTGTCACATTATCTAGTCTTCCCGTTACTGACAACATATTAGTGTTAACTAAATCAACTGAAATCACGGATCTGGAGACCGATTCTCATACATAATTATTGACGTTGAAATGTCTGTGGTAAACTTGACGCTTGTTCCCTTTACAAACTTAGGTCTCTTTTGTATTTATTTAATATTTATTCCTACAAGTAAATTCAAAAGCATTTTCTCCCTCAGCCATCTTACTTCTAATTAACTATAGTTGACAGATAGAATTGATTTTAAACTTGTATTATTATTTAACAGAATAAAAATATACTTTGCTTTAATTTGGTATTATAATAATGATGTTATGAAAGCGCTTTGATAGGTAATAAAAGTTTTTGAAAATCCATATTACAACGGATGAACTTTTTGTGTATTAATAACCTTAAATGTCTAATTATTATTCAAGATTTACAAAAGTATCTTACAAAATAAAATGTGATATTCTCATATTATCGATTTAGGTACGTTCCACTACTATTTAGTAACATGAAATCATATTCTGTAGGTTTCGTTTTGAATTTAAACTTTAGTTCCTATTCACTTGGTGTTGTTTTACTTGTATCTATCGGTTATTATTTAGGACTGCAACTGATCAGTCTCTTATTGGCATATGTTCATCCTGCGCCGATTGCATCGATATAGTCTCAAGTCAAAAGCTTTTTAAGCAAAGATGGATAGTGGTTAGCAGTGGAATCCAGTTTGACGCGCGTTTCATCCTACTTGGGACTTGTCAGCTTGATGTAGCTGCATCTCAGAGTTGATGTTCACTCTGGTACTCGAACTCAGTACCGTTCTCTCCAAACATCATATAAAATGAGTTTAAATTCATCGTATTGCACAAGCAAGTGGCTAGCAAGACGCGCTAGCTAAGTGGATAACTCGATGGCGTTTCGAGAGAATGGTACTAGGTTCGAGTCTCGAAGTGAACATCAACCCTGAGATACAGGGTACATACAACTGACGAGTCTCAAATACGACGAGACACGCGTCCTGGTTCCACTGCTAGCCACTATCCATCTTTGTTTTAATTTCAATCTGTTTGCATTGAAATGTTTTTTTGTTTTTTTTTCTTGCTGTAATTTATGTTAGATTGTAATAGAAAGATAAAAAAATATTTCATCACATAAATAAATGTAATTTGATCATTGCAAATTATTTTTATGCACAAAATGTAATAACATTTAGTTACAAAAATAGATTAATTAATAATTGAGAAGTTTGTTTTGTAAATAAATGTGATAGCAGTTTATTATTGTTTTTTTCTTTCTTTCACTAGTTCAATAAAATGTTTGATAAATTAATTGGAAATTGATTGGTCTTTTTTATTTATTCTTGTTGACTGATATATTTGTTGAAAAATCTTTTTTGTTTACGATGTTAAAGTTTCTTCATTCAATTGCAGGAAATTTCTTTCTTTAACTTTCATTGTATTCAATTGAATAATTGCATCATTCACTGCATCATGAACAGTTGGGTAAATTTTAGTTAAATCTCCTAATTTATCATTATTTTGTAAAGTATGAATAAGGTAATCTAAAATGAGAAAAAAATATAAGAACAGGTCATTTATGCACTCTGTAAGGAATATTTATATGAAATAATATTAAAGTAAAAGAGATCTTATAAAGTTGTAAATATTTAAACAAAATATAACATGAATTTTCTGTTGAAATATTCGTCGATTTCTGATAGAATGATTTGGCAGAAATCGTTAGTCGAGTATTTAGATGATATTATTTGTAAATAATATATTTGTAGTAATCTTAACGACTGGAATTTAAATAATACAGACGTTTCGGCCAGCAATCTAGTTAGACCTCTTCAGGGTAACAACATCGAATAATCGAATTTAATGTGATTGTATAGTATTTTAGTCCAGACTACCGTAAATATATTTTCATCAGAATGGGGGTTTGTGGAGGTGGTAGTAAGTTAATAGTTCGATTCATGAGTCGATTTAAGCTAGACTACCATAGAAAACACGGAAGCACTGGACAGCCGTTAATATCCTAGTATCGGACTCCTCAGCAGTGCGCAAACACGGTCTTTCAATCGGGACTCAATCTCAGAACATTCGATCTCGCGCGTAAACATTGAGCTGACATCCAATGGTGTTAATGTTTAACTTCAATCAATCCACAGTACTGCACGACTGTCCATCATTGTCTTCAGTGGGTAACTGCCTCACGACAGACACAGTTGACCAGAGGATTTCATTTAATGGGTTCACTGGTAAACATGAATGATTGCGTAGCACATTTAATGCTAGTGTTTAATACTATCAGAATTAGTAATCTTAGTTCAGTTAAAATTACGTAAAAAATAATTTACCATAAATTCTTAGAAGAAATTATATTTTCCTTTGAGTGAAAATGACGGGTTAAAAGGGGTATTTAAATTATCACTAACAAACTCGGTGACCATTATTTGTTTAATTGTAGGATGTACACAGTTTGTTTTGGAAATAAGAATATGGTTACGTAGGCGAAGATTTGGAGAACGTAAGTACCTTTTACTCATAATTCCCAAAGAGCAAATACTAGTAACGACTTGTAAAATGATCCTTGAGGCTTCCATGTTTTGAGCAAAATACTATTTAGCATTAAGATTTATTGGTCTATATTTCAAAATATTCATCAGTTTGCAACTTCCTGCAATTTTCAGTTAGCATCTTTACGTCAATAAATAGCTGCTAACATATAATTCAGTCTTTTGAATACAGAAATTGCTACAATCCACCTCATTCGATGAAAAAGCAATGATGGTTAAATATTTGATTCTAAAAGAATAGATGGAAGTTTAAGAGGACAATCAACCCCTTAGCATAGATGTAAGTATGAAATAAGTATAAAAGAGCGTCTATTGACACTGTCGACCGCCCCTTCAGGATTGGACTGAGGTTGAAGAAAGCAAAACTCTGTTGGTCAACTTAATTAATAAGTAGTGAACTCTTAGTAAAGTCATTGTTTAAAATGTATCTTAGCAGAGATGATAAATGTTTTATAACTTGATCAAGTTAGGGTACTGTGTAATGTAAACACGAAAACTATATATTCAAAATGAACTACTTCGTAAAAAATCAGTGTATTCTTTAAATTCACTCAGTTCTTTGAATTTAAATTTACATAAGGGAAGATAACATTTCCTGTTTATTTCAATTAAATTTGTTTATTGTATGCTGTTAACGTCATGATTCAATGTTAAATATTTAAAAAGATTTTTTCTTCATTTAAGTGAAATATTGGATAGGTGATCGATTCAAATATGTGGTTAATTGTCGGTGATTTGAAAAACATCAGTAAACTAAACAATGAACGAAATCTAAGTTAACTGACTGTACATTTAGAATGTTTTTCAATAAAATGTAAAAAAATAATTTTTTGTGAGTTAACCTTTTTCTCTCTCTTAAATTACAACTTATTTATACACAATAATCCAAACAATGAAACAAAAAAAAACGTTCATAAGTTTACGACCAACTTGTATATATATATTGATATCAGTAACATACCTTTCATCTGAGCGAGCAGAACGATGATACCCAGTTTTTCATAGCTATCTATCACCTAAATATACAGTAAATATAAACAGTTGACGTTTTTATAGTACTGTTATGAGTATGTATTCATTTTGATGAATAAGATCCTATACTTCTCGGGTGATACCAAAGAGGTCAGTTATTCTATTAAACAATGTGTACTACTAAATACCAAGTTACATAGTAAACATTTAACGGTTCATTTTTTCCTGATAATGGTTTATAAATCTATTTGTTCTCATGTGAATCATCTCTCAGATTTGCACCATTACTACTACGATGTCGTTGTAAGTATGAACGAATTTAACGTTAAGTCATAAGTAGATCTTTAAAAGTTTTCACTATGACAATGAATAATACAGTTAGGAATACGGGTGATTATTTTTATGACAGAATGTTCATTACATTATTCGAATAGATGCACTAAAACTTGGGTAATGTTAAAATTTGTCCACTCATACCATAATTATTTTATTTATTTATTTAAAAACATAAATATTGGTACAAAGAGGCGCCGACTAAATATGTGCCACATAAATCATTCAATTTATATGAGGGCTGAGATACTGCCTGGTTGCTCAAACCGAAACAGGTAGTTTTCTCAGGGGGTCATACCCAGAGCCTTTGACCTAAAGGTCTAATCCACAAGGCAATGGAGCAACCTAGGAAATGCAATTCCATGGTAGCCGGCGACTAACTACTGGTTCATACACTATTTGTTTCCTAAGGATCCTGAATTTCATGTACAACATTGGTAAGGAATCAGGGTTTTCCAGCTTCTCTAAATAAATTCTCCGTAACCACCAACCTGGTTAAAGCGCCGAATATTCGCTTTGTGTCCTCTCAATTCCGTAAACAATACCCCCACCACGAGAAGGCAGTGACTTGGACTTTCCTGATAGTAGTTATATGCACGTGGCTATGTGAGAGCATTTCGAGATAGAGAAAGAGGGCTGGCACTGCCCATTCTCACTCGTACCAGGGCATTTAGGGGCTGACGTCAGGAGCATGATTATTTATAATAGCTTACATCCTTGATAATCACAAACTGAAATATACGTCTATACATATATGGCTAATTAAGTTTCACAATCTTTATAAGGAATTTATTAGAAAATCTCCAATAATTTTACATTCCACACATGTATTATTTTCATTCAGTATCAGTATAATAATAAAATATCTCGTTTTAGATTCTGTTGTAATTTAAAAATTTAATAATATATATATAATATATATATTCAGAAAAATATCCCAAAAATAATCCTGTTAAGTCTAATGCTATCCTTGAACGTGAAATGGTGTCATTTACCTATTGGTCGATATTTATTTCACGTGTCTTTTCCCTACTGGTCAATATTCACAATAGTCCTAACTGTATAAATATGCATTTGTCTGTAAAGTATCATTCCTATTCTTATTCTTCTCCTGACCCCATAAACAATTTTCATCTACGGTTTGTGTTCTGGTTTATTGGAGATTGGGAAAGAGTATTGAGGTCGTACTGGGATATCTGAAGTTGGTCAGTCGGTAGAAATTAGAATAATGTGGTGTTTGAATTAACTAATGATTCTTTTGTACTGGTTGAATGTTTGATTTCGAATTCTAAATACAGTACATTCGTTGTGCCTGTGTCTTAATTCAATTGCGTTAATCCTGGAATTCCTAGTTCATACGATAATTCTACTACTATAAATAACCACCCCGCGGTTCACAATATATATATATATATATATATATATATATATATATATATATATATTTATTATTATAAATAAATTTATTAATAAATAATCTAAAATTTACCTGTTTTAATTCATCTGCTCCAACTATATCAATAAATGTCCAACATGAACAATCTAATATTAAATAATTAAATGTTAATAAATGATTAATAATTTCTAATTTTTCTATTTGTTTTATTCTTTCCATTTCTAATTTTGATTTTTCATTTAATGTTAATAATTTTCTTTTTTTT